ACACCAAACGCGACCATTTGACAAGATCCACAATTCGATCGACTAAGGACGGACTGAAATACACGAGATGACAAGAAGTGCGTCATGTATTTAACATAAAAAGTAAAAGAAGAATTGTCATACTGCAAATCCGAATCGAACGGCTAAGGGGTACCTTCTGTATTAACCTTTGATTAATAGCATGATAAACAGGTTTAAAGGACGTTTAACGAATTATATTTTAGAACTGGTGACGATACACTACACACTCCATATACAAGAATAGGGTGAGAAGAGTGCCTAGACAGCTGCTAATTAATCCCTACCCCTGGCTTATGGTCTGCAGAATGAGCTGTGCGTTGTGTATGCAAACGTTCATTTACGTATTTGTCCATCACTTCATCAGCCAGTTTCTTAGATCTATTACTCCATCTGTCTAAACGTTTATTGAATATATCGTCGATGCGTCAGTCTGACAATCTGTGCCTATTCACTGATTAATTCATCTATCCATTTATCTGTCTACCTGTCATCGCTTTATCTGTGTATCATTCCTCCATCTATCCTGCCATCGTAGCAGAGGCGATGCTCATTAGATAAGTTACCATGCTGCATACTGACGAACATGGAAGCGACACTACTGCTACTGCACTAGTGTGATCAGGCGATGATATTTTGGAGTTGAATCAGATAGGCACAATGTCATAAATCCTGCGACAGTAATCTATACTAGACACCTAACTACATGCTATGCTTTTCATGCTAAAACTGAAATGTCTCCTTCCTCACGATGTTACTAAGGTACCTTCATAATAAAACGCACTAAAATTACAGAAGGAATCTTACTTTATGAAGCATTCATTTGGAGTCGGTACGTAGAAATATTCGAGGGCATGGTGAGCTCCGAGAAATTCGAGGGGTTCATAATCGCGTCCCGTTGCTCGGTGCTCATCTCGTCGTATGATTTCTGGACGACTGAGTGTTCCTTGAGGATCGAGTTGCCGTTGCTTTCGCCCCAGAAGAACCGCGTGTTGTAAACACGCACCAAAACTCGGTCCACCCGCAGGTAGAACTGCAACAGTGCAAAGAAACTGGTCGGCATGCAACGCAGTTTGATCTGCAACTTGCTACAGCCATGGTCGGACAGTTCGTCTTCGAATAGGTCCAGGCTCTGATAGAAAAGAATAGGCTGAACCTTCGTTAACGCTTCGTAATCGATTTTCTCCTCGGTCGGTACCTCCTAAAAATTTTCATTTACAAAACGATAGGGCAGAAAATGTTTCAATGCTACTCTGCTCCTAAAGGATCACCGAATAATAAGTCAGAGCACGTTATTCAAGAGCGGCAGAAATTATATA